GGGATCTCCAAAAAATAGAAATAGATTATCAACCTTCCCATTGAGATCTGTCAAAATACTGACACTACTCCCAAATGGAAGCTATATGCTTCAGCAGATACACTCAAGGTCTGTGTTTTTGTATATCCCATTTATGGATCACATTTAAGATTGTTGTAATCATCTACACCAGCATTATCCATGGTTTGCAGTGCAACTTAAATTCAATCCTAAAATCACACAAATATTAAAATAACATTTAAAGAACTATAACCTTTTGCATTGAGATGAAAATAACTTTTTTATTTTGCATATAATTAGTATGCAGACCATCAGACACTTGCAAAAGCCAGAATTCTAGATAAAATTGTATAAACAAAATTAACCTTATTTTGGCTTCAGAACACTGGAATAATATTATTTCAAGGTCGAATGTTATATTTATGCTTAAATGTTTCCTTAAATAAACTTCCTGAAGACTGTTCACTAATCTTACTGTGAGTACAAACCTCCTCCAAAATGGACAAAACTTTCAGGAAAGCATTGGTGCACCTCTCCCGCCTTTCGTATTTAGAGTTACCATATAGCCAAATAAGAGTGGAAAGAGCTGTACACGGTAGAAAATTTCAACCCCAGGACCTAGAATATTAATCAGTAGTTAACTGCAAACTGAGCTCGAAATTACAGTCCACAGGGATTCCTCGATACAACCTGCTAATTTCTCTAGACTACTTTTTTTCTTAGAGATTTTATGCTCATCTTTAATGTGCCATAGTTCATTTTTCTTTTTTTTTTTTTTAATTGTGTATTTATTTGACATTTACATACAAAGTTGTCATCATTCATTACCTACAATATTTTTTTTTTTTTTTTTTTTGGAGATAGAGTCTCACTCTCTTGCCCAGGCTGGAGTGCAGTGGTGCAATCTTGACTCACCACAACCTCTGCCTCCCAGGTTCAAGTGATTCTCCTGCCTCAGCCTCCCAAGTAGCTAGGATTACAGGCATGCACCACTACACTTGGCTAATGTTTTTTAAATATAAACCTTAAGTTCTGGGATACAATGTGCAGAATGTGCACATTCACATGTCATGGTGGTTTGCTGCATCCATCAACCCATCATCTACATCAGGTATTTCTCCTAATGCTATCCCTCCTCTAGACCCCCACCCCCCAACAGGCCCCAGTGTGTGATGTTCCCCTCCCTGTGTTCATGTGTTCTCATTGTTCAACTCCCACCTATGAGTAAGAATTTGCGGTGTTTGGTTTTCTGTTCTTGGGTTAGGTTACTGAGAATGGTTTCCAGCTTCATCCATGTCCCTGCAAAGGACATGAACTCATTCTTTTTTATGGCTGCTTAGTATTTCATGGTGTATATGTGCCCTATTTTCTTTATCCAGTCTATCATTGATGGGCATTTGGGTTGGTTCCAAGTCTTTGCTGTTTTGAACAGTGCTGCAATAAACATATGTGTCTTTATAGTGGAATGATTTATAATCCTTCAGGTATATACCCTGTAATGGGATTGCTGGGTCAAGTGGTATTTCCGTATTTCCTGATTTGAATGTTGGCCTGTCTTGCTAGGTTGGGGAAGTTCTCCTGGATTATATCCTAAATTGTGTTTTCCAACTTGGTTCCATTCTCCCCATCACTTTCAGGTACACCAGTCAAACATAGGTTTGGTCTTTTCACATAGTCCCATATTTCTTGGAGTCTTTGTTCATTCCTTTTCATTCTTTTTTCTTTAATCTTGTCTTCATTCTTTATTTCATTAAGTTGATCTTCAATCCCTGATATCCTATCTTCCACTTGATCAATTCAGCTATTAATATTTGTGTATGCTTCGCAAGGTTCTTATGCTGTCTTTTTCAGCTCCATCAGGTCATTTATGTTCTTCTCGAAGCTGGTTATTCTAGTTAGCAGTTCTTGTAACTTTTGTCAAGGTTCTTAGCTTTCTTGCATTGGGTTACAACAGGCTCCTTTAGCTCAAAGGAGTTTTTCATTACCCACCTTCTGAAGCCTACTTCTGTCAATTCATCAAACTCATTCTCCATTCAGTTTTTTCCCTTGCTGGCACAGAGTTGTGATCCTTTCAAGGAGAAAAGACATTCTGGTTTTTGGAGTTTTCAGCCTTTTGGACTGTTTTTTTCCTCATCTTTGTGGATTTATCTAACTTTGGTCTTTGATGTTGGTGACCTTTGGATGGGGTTTTTACATGGGCTTCCCTTTTGTTGTTGTTGATGCTATTGCTTTCTGTTTGTTAGTTTTCCTTCTAATAGTCAGGAGCCTCTGCTACAGGTCTGGTGGAGTTTGCTGGAGGTCCACTCCAGACCCTGTTTGCCTGGGCATCGCCAGCAGAGGCTGCAGAACAGCAAAGATTGCTGCCCACTCCTTCCTCTGGAAGCTATGTCCCAGAGAGGTACCCACCAGAATCTAGCTGGAGTTCTGCTGTGGGAGGTGTCTATCAACCCCTGCTGGGAGATGTCTCCCAGTCAGGAGCCATGGGAGTCAGGGACCCACGTGAGGAGGCAGTCTGTCCCTTAGCAGAGCTTGAGCACTGTGCTGGGAGATCCACTGCTCTCTTCAGAGCTGGCAGACAGAAACATTTAAGTCTGCTGAAGCTGCACCCACAGCCGCCTCTTCCCCTCAGTGCTCTGTCCCAGGGAGATGGGAGTTTTATCCATAAGCCCCTGACTGGGGCTACTGCCTTTCTTTCTGAGATGCCCTACCCAGAGAAAAGGAATCTGGAGAGGCAGTCTGGCTACAGTGGCTTTGCCAAGCTGTGGTGAGCTCCACCCAGTTTGAACTTCCAGGTGGCTTTGTTTATACTGAGGGAAAAACTGCCTACTCAAACCTCAGTAATGGTGGATGCCCCTCTCCCCACCAAGCTGTAGCATCCCAGGTCAACTTCAGACTTTCAAACCAGTGGATCTAGGCTTATTGGGCTCCATGGGTGTAGGATCTGCTGAGCAAGACCACTCAGGTCCCTGGCTTCAGCCCCCCTTTCAGGGGAGTGAATGGTTCTTTCTTACTGGCATTCCAGCTGCCATTAAGGCACGAAAATAAACTCTTGCAGCTAGTTCAGTGTCTGCCCAAACAGCCACCCAATTTTGTGCTTGAAACCCAGGGCCCCGGTGGTAGGCACCCAAAGGAATCTTCTGGTCTGTGGTTTGTGAAGACCAAGGAAAAAGCATAGTATCTGGGCAGGATAGCACCAACCCTCATGGTACAGTCCCTCATGGCTTCCCTAGGCTATAGGAGGGAGTTTCCTGATTCCTTGTGCTTCCCAGGTGAGGCAATGCCCCACCCTGCTTCTGCTTGCCCTCCATGGGCTGCACCCACTGTCTAGTGGGTCCCAGTGAGATGAACTGGGTACCTTAGCTGGTCCCAATGATGAACTGGGTGCCTCAGTTGGAAATGCAGAAATCACTTGCCTTCTGTGTTGATCTCACTGGGAGCTGCACACTGGAGCTGTTCCTATTCAGCTATTTTGCCAGCTTCCCTATTTGTTATTCATTTATATAGACACCCAAAACATCCTTATCAGTACTTTCTCTCTTTCCCATTCTCTCTTTTTCTACTTCCCAACTTTTCCCCAATCTCTCTTTTGGTCTTCCCTTTGCTCTCTAGTGCTAACAGCCTGAGTTTGATTAACCCAATAATTAAAGTTGATAATTATATGATTTCACCAGGACAAATTTTGTAAAATGTACAAGTAGATTATAAATGTAGCCTCTTTGTTTGGATGTCTTTACATATATACATATGTAAAGTAACCATGAATGAAATCACTAGAAACTAACAATATATTTGGGGAGAGAATTTAGTAGCTTGTGGTGGGGAACTAGCAAATAGGAATAGGAATAGAAACGGGAAATAAAATTTTATTATATTCCCTTTTATGCCTTATGAATGATGTTTCTTAACACCACTGTTCTCTGTGGTAGGCAGATCTATGCAAACCTACCTTCAGAAGCTCAGGAAGCTGAGAGGCTGAAGACAGGCCAACAAATCTATTTTCTTCTAAAGAAACATTTAAAAGGGACTTACAAACAGAAGCCATGTCTGTGTCTCAGGTGGCAGCAAGACAAGATGGTGGATCCCTGCACCATTGTTGCCCCAGACCAGGGCTTATATGCCATTGGAAAACGGTGATTCACAGGGATGTGTAGGAAGACTGAAGTATGAAAACATCAAGGATGTTTTGACCTAAGGGCAGGATATAACATAAGTCTGCTCTTACACAAGGAACAATAGACATACTGGAAATCTTACAGACCTTCCCAGGATTGGGGTTAATCAGAAGTCAACATGGTGTATTGGCATCCAAGATGGATTTACTTTAGCCTTCTATTCAAAAAAAAATTAAGTCTAAAACTAAATCTACATTTATATCTCCAAATATACAGAGTTATTAGCTTAATAGTACACAGGCAGCTCTCCAGATTCCATAAGATACTAAGTGCCCAGAGCAACAAAACCACTAAAAATAACAGTTAGCTTATAAGTCTGCAATGGAAAAAATTTTTTTCTTTTCTCTGAAAATAATTTTAGTTGCCATTTTATAGAAGAGTGCCATGACAGGTTTAGGGCACCATGTTTGAATCAGTGGCCCAGCAAAGGCACACCAGTGCCTTTCCTATTGTGGTGCTCTGTCAAGCTGTATGTTAGGACACCTGGTCTGAAAACGCACACACACACACACACACACACACACACACAGAGAGAGAGAGAGAGAGAGAGAGAGAGAGAGAGAAAAGAGTGGTAGAGAAATCATCTGAAACTGTTCCTTAGTTGCATTGGAGGCAGCTGCAATGAGGTAAGAAAAGTGACAAAGTTGAATTTTAACCTTGGTTTTTTTTGAAGCATAAGTTACGGCCATTCTTGGTTACGTAAGTCATATTCATGCCCCTTTGGCAACATCTGTGTGGCAGAGATGCGTGTTCAAGTCTGAGAGTTAGTTATACAGGGATCAGATGTTCTTGATTTTGCCTCACAATTTTCTTGCTCTTCATTTGCAGGTAGTGAAATCAAAATTATCCAAAGAATATCACTTTATTAAAATGAAAAGATCAAGAAATCATGTCATAGGAAGATATTTCAGCAATCAAAGCAAACTACAACAAGGCACTGTAACAAATTTTCAATCACCATATCATGTCAGAGGTCCAATAAATCAGGTTTGTTCTGAAATCCTTCTCAGCAGGATGTGTACAAGTAAAAGGACTATGTAGGCTCCCTGCAGGAGAACTGAATCTGGAGCTGGAGACAAGCTACTCACTTGGACAATGGTCTAGGAGCCAAGCACTGTGCATCACACACATTTGGGATTGACCACACAAGCTTGTGCACACCAGCACATGTATGCACACCAGTACACACACAGCTAAAACAAAGCAATGATAACACTTTTTCTTACAGCTTTATGAATTCAAGATGTGACCTTGAACACCAGTTCATTTCACAGTGAAATATATAACTAGAAATACGTTACTTGAAACATAATTTTTAACCAGAACCACTGTGGGCCAGATATGGCATTGTGATAATAAAGAGAAATATAAACACTTGAATTATGTGAAAAAAAGGATAATGCTCTTTTGTCTTGTCTTACCATCTCTATAGGTACATCAATATTGAAAAGGAGAAAAACCAGTTACATTCCACTGGCACATAGAGGTTGTGCTTGCATTCATTACCAAGAGAAAATGTGGTGTTTATGATGGCTTAGGCTTTGTGAATCTAATGCTTATGAAAAACATTTACTCCTATACTTTTTAAAATTTTATTAATGAAAGGAAAAGAACAAGAATGTTCCACAGGGAACTTGAAGAGATTCTGTGAGAGAGATATAAAGTGAAGTATTTTATAGTTAAAACACCAATATATTTAACTTTACACTTCTTGTGTTTTTCATAAACATTCCCTCTTGTCCTGTCTGTAAACTTGGATGGGTAACTGCAGTCTGAATTGATGAAATACATGATTTTAAAGTGAGCAAAAAAATGTAGTTCCTCATGTATTACTTTATTACGTTTCATTGATGATATTACTCAAATCTTGTGTTTGCCATTACAGCCCTATGTAACTTAAAATTACAATTACATGTTATGTAAATACTTTGCAAAGGATTATGCATTCTCAAATCCACAGGAATTTTTTCCCATCAAGCATTTGCATATGTCCACAAGTAGTATTATGTTACTAGAATCTATATTATGATTTTCCTGAGCAACTGTATCCAATCCAAATTTAGAGTAGACATAAAATTTTTATTTTAATTAAAACTGTGGCATACATATTATACATACCTAATTCTAGTAGTAAGAATTAGGTATGTATTATTTGTATCTCTTCTATCTGTTTAGGCTCAAAATGGTAAATTTCTTTATTGTACAAATGCTTTGTTGTGAGATAACATCACACAGTTACTGGATTTTAAAGGTTTGTCTTTTTTGGGGTAAGTGGGAAGCCGATAGGTTTAATTCAATACATGGCTGAAATTACCAAATGTACAAATACCTCAATTTCACTACCATACTAGAAAAAAACACCTATTTTGATTGATCAATTCTTTTGTATGAATATCCACCTCCTTTAAATACTCTATTTTTATATATATTTTTATATGAAGATAAACGTGAATTTATATTTAACTGTCTTAAATTATATTTACATGAATGCAAATATCACTTGATATAAACAATACAAATCTGCATCTTACATATGATAGTTTTTTTCAGAAGAATGATGCAGAATTAACTTTAAAAATAAAAGACTTTTCTAGTATACACTTAAATGCAAACATCATTTTTAGGTTTTCAGTGATTTTTTTTAATGACACAAAATGTTACCAATGTATGCAGCCTCTTCATCATGTTTTAACATATTGTGTACTCTATAGCAGTATTACAATCAGTATTTCTTGTAATTTTCTTTTGACCTAACCATAATCATCTGACTGAGGTTAGTCTGGTATGTACCTCTGCACTGCTGAAATAATAATGGATTTTAGAAACAATTGTAATAATATCATTAATAAATGTCTTACTAGTAATAGTCTGTGTTCACAGAGTATCTTTTATTTTCTTTTTTACTGAAGATGTACAACCATGCAAACAGTGACCACTTGGCAGGGATATTATCATGTGGATTCAAGTATTACAGTGTGGTTAAACAGGATTAACTATATTGTTCCTTCTAAGCTTAATATTGTCTAAGTTTGTGATCAGGTGAACTCCCCACTGTGCAATGACCAAAGTGTTTGGAGATAATGTAATGTTGTGACAAGCTTTTTAAAAACATTAAGAAGAAGACACTAATGCTAGGAATCATTTTAATGGATCCTTAACGGAAACTGCATTTTATTTTACCTAGGTGTATGCATATGCGTATACTCATGTGTTTGCATGTATTTAACAAGTTCCTAATTTCAATGGGAGAAAAAAATGGGAGTAAGTATTTTAGCTTATTTTTAGATGTAAAAGTTACAGGAAATGTATTATTTTGGTAAGAATTTATTAGAATCCAATCCAAACTAAACTAAAAAAAAAACATTTATAACATTAAAAGTCAAGAATAACTGCATAAACATTTGCAAGCATCACTGTTGATCTTGTGTGTGGGTGGGCGTGTGTGTGTGTGTGTGTGTGCGTGCGTGCGTGCAAGTGTGTGTGTTTAAAGGCACAGTATACTATTTGCCAGCCACCCAAGTAGGTAGATAAGATCCTGCACAGACATGAAAAAGAAGGGCTCACATTTGCCTGCTGGTTGGGTTTATATTTGGGTCATTAAATCTTCCTTGTGTTATTTGCCCGCATGCCTAGAAGTCTTCTCTATAGAGCAGTAGTGATTCCTGCTTAAGAATTTGTTGGAAGAAATTACTGAGTTTTGAGATCAAAATATTTCCCATGATGTTTATAGAGGAAAAAAACTAATAATATTCTGAATTTGAAATGTCTTCTTTTAGAGCCCTTTCACTGAACAAATCCAAGAAGAAATATAGAAATGGCTCAAAATTATGTAACCCAATAAGAGTTGTTTCAAAGGTATAATGCTTTGGTAGAGCGGGAAGGGGTGTCTAATATAGTGGTGAGATTAAGAGCCTAGATACTTAATCAGGGTTAGAATTTTATGAAGTATTTTCCAAAGGGGTCCTTCATGTGAGTAAATGCTGAAACAATTTCTTCATCTAAAATTTACCTGAAATTTTATCTTATAAAAAATCCCCAGATTCATCAAGACCAGTGGCTATTACTGTATTTAAAATAAACAAAAATGACCAATGAAGCTCATATAAACTGATAACTTCAAAAATACATACGTGTTCAAGCACAAAGTGATAGCATAGCAGATTCCATTTTGAGTGGATCAAGGACTAATTGCTCTCCAAATGCTACTGTAGTTTTTTTTTTTTTTAATGTGTACATAAAGTTAAAATGATTTTTATTGCTCTTGGAAACTAAGGCATTTTAATAGATCACTTCAGCTTAAGGGGATGAACCAGAAGTTGTTCAGGAACCCCCAAAGACCTATTAAAGACAATAGGATACTGCCAGCATCTACAAACAAGATTTTGTATTTGGCACAACTTCCAAGGTTTCATACTGTCAAAAAGCCTTTTATCATGTTTTTATTGCTGCAGTAACTGCTATTATCAACTTCATATTTCTTTGATGATTCATTCACTTGGGGTAGCGGGATGTAGAACTCATTTTTTTTCTCATTCATATAGACCATGCAGTTCCTCTAAAATGGTATCCCATGTGTTTTCTTTATGTTTGCTTAAATGTAAAGAATTTCTTTTATGGCCCTATTAAACATCAGATCACTATGCTTTAACACACTACATACATGATCAAATATTATTGTAAAAACTTATCAAGAGTATTTAAATTGTGTAAGTCTATTTGCAAGTTAAAAAGAAATTATTACTTAAAACCAACTAATAGTAGTGGCAAAATAAAAACTGTCACTTCTGGGAAAACACCATAAAAGAATTCCTACAGCGTAGTACTATTTAGGTAGCTTAGGTTTTAGATTTGATTTATGTTGAGTGATGTTTTCTCCCAAGTCTGTAGCACTCTCTGCAGAGGACTTTTTAAAATTCTATTTTTCAAAGACTTTTTTTCTAGCCCTTTTTGTAATTCATCTGGGAAAAATATTGCATTATAGATTAGATATGAATAGACATTTAATATCTCTAACCAAGATGTCTTCTTAGGTGATTTATGTGTAGCATCACATGACTCATTTTATTATATAAAATTTAAAAAAATTATACTTTTTTAATATGAAAGGGTAATTCCTGTGAAATCCATTAAACTGTTTAGATATGTTTTAAAAGCAAAATAATTACAATTGATTATTGGTACATAAGAATTCAGAAGTAACATGGTTTCATAAATACAAAACGTATTCAATTGATTCTCAACTATATAGTGACTTATTTTATGGTTGGCTGGTGAAGTGCATCAATTAGATGTAGCTTTTAGCGATAACTATACAGTTTAATGATGATGGTATGTGATTTATTTATGTATTTTGCTCAATTGTATTTCCACTTTCTTTTTTATGATAAACCTTGTTCAAAATATCCTGATTGAAATTTCATTGTATGGCATCAAGGTAAACATTTTAATTTTCTTTCCAGTCTCAAATTTTTTATTTGGTCCCTAATTGGTATGCTTTTAAAATTAAAACATAAATTTGAATATTAGAAAACAATTTAAGGACACTAAAATGAAACAAATATATGTCGTAACTTGTAATATAACCAATACTGAATGTAATGCAGCCCCGGATAGTCCATGAGGTACATCACAGTCAGTGAAGGATTGAAAGGAAGCTACAGCATAGGCCTTCATATCAGGAGAAATGCTTCTCCACTGGGTTTGGGGATGGCTGTATATGAGCACCTTCCTGCTACCTTTGACAGTGCTTGGATATCTCTCTTCGGCCTCTTCTCAGTATGCAAATCACATTGGAGGGCCCAATTTCCAAAGAAAAAGCAAATAATAATTTTAAGTCTTTAGTGGACCAAAAATTACAACTTAGATTAGCCAAATAGGAAGTGAATGTAATTCTAATGATATTTTCCGATTTTAAATCAGAAAAAATAGAATATATGCTCTAATTATCAATATAGTATATCCTCAAGAACTTGAAATAGCAACCCATTTTTTACTGTTTTTTCATTGAAGGGCTCATTCATCTACTGTGATCATTCTTGCTTGTCCTTACCTTTGCCTTTGAAATGGGACTTATGCAGTATTTTTCTGTGTGCATTTAATATGTAATCCAAGATACATTTTAAGCTTACATTTTTATGTTCTCCTTTTTACCTTAATTACATGTAACATGAAGCTTATGTTTTAATGGGCATGGGCTCTCCAGTTTTACAATATCATAAAAGGAGTTTATGAGTCTTTTGTTAAAAATCAGGGCCTATGTCATTGGCAGGGCATGGAATTATTTGCAACTACTCTTCTACTTATACGATAAAATTTGGTCTGAATTAAAAATAGTATGAGTGAAAACTGAAACAATGCTTTTGTAGCCCAAAATGAGTTTAGTCATCAAATGGCATAAATTCGGGTTCCTCAGTTTCCACCACGTGGGCATACCCACTGGGGAAAAACTGATCTCTGTTCACACTTGCCTCTATAGAATACCCATTTCAGTGCTTATATTAGTTATGCAAAATCAATGGCATGTTTTTAAAAGGGTGTGGATACACCCTTAGCTCAAGTTATTCCTGCCAAGAACAGGAATTATTTCAATAGGATGGAGTTTCCAGGGCCATGTTATTGGTAAACAGCCGGAACTCTCTCTTGGCCACCTATCCTATAAATAAATTGATACCATCCATGAATTATTTATGGACTCTGAGATGAGGCTGATACAGGCATTGAATCTCAAGTTCTTATTTCCCAGAAGAGCGGGCAATCATAAAGTGAGTGACTGGCTTACGTGGTGTTTTTCTCTTTCCTGGGGTCATCATAAGTCTTTGAAGTACTGAGCTTCTTGAAGTCGATTTCTCTTCCAATGGAAGCATCCCTGGGCAGTCATCTTTAGTAAACTGTTACTAAATACAGTGAAAATAAATGCCTTCCCTTCACCACTGATCATGGACTTGTTATGCTGCCTCTGCAGACAAAAAAGTCAAAACTGTTGGGTCAAAGCCAAACCTTCCCTGGTTTGTGTCTGGGAAGAGTGTGTGTCAAATAAAGGACTTGAAAATAGGAATTCTGGATTATTTTTAAACAAAAACTCATCCATACTGTATAAATATACGTGTGTGTATGTACAGATAAAATGTATGCACATAAACACATATACACACACAACAAAATAGATAATGGAGAAGTATCAAATAATCTTAGATCCATCGAATTAGTTCCTTTAAAACATTACACTTATTTTTTATTTATAGCAGTATGTAAAACCTTTAGTATAACAGGTTCTATATCTCTGGATATCTTTGCCAGGTTCTCGTCTGAACATGTGGGGAATGCGCTTCAGAGCCCCGGCCAAGCAGTGATGGAGCAGGGAGGGACGTGTTAGGGGAGGCGTCTGCCAGATGCTTTTCTTAAGAGGCAACAAGTGACCCAAATGCCAGAAATCACCAAAATAAGAAGATGCTAGAATATGTTGGACCATGGAGGCACGAAGTCTCCAACCTTTAAAACTATAGAGACTCGAGGAAAGAAAGAGAGCAGGACAATTCTGTGCCCTGATGAAAGTAAATGGATCAGTAAAGTTCACTTGTAGGAATCACTCTTAGTAGGGACTCCTGCCACATGCCCTACCTCTGTCCTCTGATATAATGGGCCCTTCTCACTGGCAAATGCTGAGATGGGCAGCTAAGGAGTAATTCATCCCCTCAGTATGGCTCATATGACCCTCAGTATGGCTGAGAGGTAACTCATAATCTTTAGTTACAGTTACACGGAAGAGTGGCTAAGTCCTGCAAGCTGTGGCAGAGGATCCCCTGGACATCCAGCACAATCACATCCTACAGCTCATAGCTTCCTCCCTCCAAATCAAATTTCTAGTTG